GCACCAAACGTGGAACGGAACGCCACGTCCCACTCCTTTATGTCCCGTCCCACGTACCAAACGATACTTTATTTCTTTTGCTCACTTACTAAATTGAGCAATTCAAAGCGGTTATATTATTTGACTCAACTTTCGTTTTTAAGAGCCAATCAAATTGAACCGGACGGTACTCATCCCCAGTTCATATAGAAAAGATTCGAACAATAATCAATCATGAAAGAGATTTTTCAATGTGATCGGAACATGGAGTGTACATTATATGTCATTATACAAATGATGGGATATGTGTGTTAAAAAAATTAATAACTTAAAAAATATAATTTTTCACCACTTATATCAAAACACGAGTAGTATACTATCCGTGTTTTAGTCATAGTAAAAAAATTCTCGACTATGGTCTATGGAGAGTCCGTCAACTAAAAAATTCAAAAAAACTGATCCCATTCGTGCATTGTCTTGTTCGTGTTAGTTTTTCCCTCCTCCATCCAAGGCCGTCGGTATTTTTCTGGTCGAAAATTTGTGTCGAGTAGGGCACAGACTGATTGGCCAATAAACATAAAAGCACACCACAGAAAAAGCAAGTTAAAAACTCAAATGTAAATTGCAGAAGACGCATAACTTGGACCATGTCGTTTTACTGTTTTACTTGGGATAAGAAAAAAAGGTAAAAAAAATAAAAATATCAAATAATAAAGTCAGATAAAGAAAATGGATATGCAGCTGACACAATGAGAGGAATATGGAACCCTTTTAGATCCGTGTCCACATAACGAGAAATATGAACCGTTTAAGAGAGAGAAAGTAATTCCGTCCATTCAAATTTTGAATTTCTATAAAGTAGATTAGTGTGATAGGCTAATAGAGGACGATAATTAAAATTGAGTGGTTCAAATTTCTCGAACTACAAGTTCTAGACATAGAAATCAAAAGTAGATCTCGTGACCTTCCCCTCTTTTTTTCCTTTTTGAGAAATTCATAACAACTTAAACAAAAAAAATGCCCTAGTGAGCTTTAGGGTAGGGTTTTCGGGCAATAGTGCTTGCCATTTAGTCACCACATGTTCATTTCTGACCTTAGATCTTTTTTCTAGTAATTTATAACTGGAAAAATGGTCAGTTTAATTGTCATTACATACATGTATTTACCCACAGAAGTATTAGGATTTAATTATGTGTACTAAATTACTAATAAATAAATCATTGTATTAATAAAAAAAATTAGGGTTTGTTGAGGAGGAGAGGAACAAAGATCAATTTACAGTTTGGTGTAGCAGTGAGTGGAGACAGCAGCAGCTGCCGGGGAAAGTGCTTGACAGCATGAAATTTGTAGTGCGGAATGGACTCATTCTTTTGGTACTAGAGTAACCTCCAAACTGTCACAACCATAAAATGGTGAGCAATAAGCCTCAATGCATAAAGACAACACAAAATGCTACTCCAATCCCAAAACTTCACAACCCTATCTATCCATAGTCCTTCCCCTTTCAAACACAATTTTGAATGTCAATAAGAGCATCCCAATGAATTGGAAAAATGGTGGATATAACCCATTTTAGAGCTCTGAGGAATTTTTGGGGGTTTATAAAAGAATATCTCCCAATGAGATCTATTTCTTTTGGGCCGTATATGGGGTTATATATATTTATTTATGTAGTAATTTAATTATGCAATAATTTTTTTTTTTTGTTAATTTGTCTTAAGTTGATTTTTAGACGTGCTATCTTAAATTTTTTTTATGAACCTTTCAACCTAAAAAAGTTCAAATTGTGACAAAGTTAGATTTCATCACTTATGAACCATTCGTTGAATTAGATTATCTTATCTCAATCTCATCCGTTGAAAGATACAAACTCCCACTTCATCCTCTGAAATAATTTGATTTTCACGTACAACACAACAATTAACCTAGCACCAATTGATGAATTAGTATCATACAATTTTGAAAAAAAAAATATTTGAAAATTTCACCCACCAATGCCCATGAACATTAATATCATACAATTTTGAAAAGAAAAAAAATATTTGAAAATTTCACCCACCAATGCCCATGAACATTAAATCAATTTGAAATTTTAATTCTTATAAAATGTAAAACAATCATTCATTAGACAAATTGCAAGAAAAAATATGTAAGAAAAAAGAATTAAAAAATAATAATAAAGTATAATATAAGTGTATTCACGAGTGGAGGGAGAGTAATAGAATTTTACTCATATGAGCTGCTACTTTTTTGTGAGACCCACTGTTTTTTGGGGCTAGATGTAGCCCAATTTTATACTACCCAAAAAATAAAGTTGCTAGCCCAAGTGGTGGATCTAACCCCATTTTCCGGCTCATTGAGGATGAAATTTCTCACTAAAACTTAAAATGTAGTAGCCTCATGGAGGATAAGGCACCCATTAGGGATACACTAATGTTACGTGTGTAAAAGTCATTACAGCTCGAGAAGCAAGCAAGAGGTTTGTAGCTCAAGTAGTTAACAACATAATATATATGCAGTCGAAGTCTCTTGCGATCAGTATGTATAGAAATGTTAAATCATATTGCTTTAGAAATACGTATTGAAATCCCCTCCAGATCTTCAAGTCGGCAACTGGCAGACCCAAAAATTTGGGTCATTCAAAGGGAAAAGAGAGATATATGGACTCTTATTTTATATGAGGTGGATCAGTAAAACAAACAAATAAGGTTCGTAGGATTTTAAATGAGTAATCTAGATCTCTGAATCCGTTGATTTCAAACGCAGAAATCGAAAAGCATCTCAATTCTAGAAGTATATCATCAATCAAAGGTGCATTTAAGAGTGGATATGACTTGCTTTCCCAAAAATATTATTTATTGAAATGAGTATGAAATATGGTTTTGATGAGATGAAATTGACATAATTTGAAGTCTCAACTATAAATTAATGAATAAAATCTGTGACGTAGAAGTTCTCTTCTTATTTATGTTGCTTGGTAGTTGGAATTGGCATCTTCCCATGCCTTAACATGGAAGCATATTAAAAAAAATGACAAGTCCAATTGGACCCAATGCGATGATTTTCCCAAAATTATGAAGCCTTCACATCATAAACTAGGAATCAAGGGAATGCCATGTTTTGATTCAACAACCTGCAAAGTGTTCAAAGTCTGCAAAATGCAAGGGACATTGTGGAGAGGTGCATTATTTATCATTGGGATTTCAGCTTAAAATAGTCTTTAAGATTAACATAACTCTTTACTTTGATCTCCGAGATTTGAAATCCATAGAAGTGGCCCCTAAACCCTAAACCATCAATCATTTTGATACTTTTGTAAAAAATATCTGTTAAATAAAGACAAAAACACCGTCAATTTAATAAACAATAAGCCAAAATGATTTAATAAAAGTTGAGGGAACTTTTGTCATTTTCTCCTTATTTAACAGAGAATTTTCACGGAATGACCCAAATGATTGGCGTTGGACAAACTCTGGGACCAATATGTCAAGTTTAAATCTCATGGACCAAAGTCAGTTATGTCAATCTCATGGATCATTTTAGCTAAAAAGTCTTTTATCATTTATGTGATGCAAAGTACGAGGACAGAGCTAGGGTAAGTAATAAAGCATGAGAAGAATTTACATACATTGGATACGTTACTGTGGAGTAATTCAAATTATCTATACAATACTATGTATTTAACGTTCTTAGTCAACAATACATTTGATTACCGTCACAATGAAATACTCGTCATAAGGTTGATGCTAGAGAGGTCCATATGATGTGGCGTTAATGATTGGATTATTTGTTTAAATTATTAAAATAGGTACTAAACAATCAGCCGTCACATCATGTGGTCTACAAAATATAATAAAAAAACATAATTCCTCTAATTACAACATCTCTTCTAAAAAACGAGAAAAAATTCTTTACACCTCCTGATACGATAAATAACTTGTATAAAACGAGTTAATCTCAAATTTCCGACGAGACATCTCTATCCAATCGGAAAATAAAAGGCAAAGAAAGTTGAATCCTTGTCACAACCCTGCGATCCGCACCACGCCACTTCTGTCACATTTTCTTTATTTATTACACCACCCACCCTTCCCCACCACTTATTTAATTGCCTTTATTGCTTTTTGCCTCCACGTTTTTCTGTTTATCCACTATCCGCCCCCAACTCTGAACTCTCTCTTTCACCCAGCTCACCCACGCCTTCCGTTTACGGTAGCAGGCAACTTTGCAAAATTACAATTATACCCCCATGCCACCAATTTCCAATTAGATAGATAAAATGGCAAATAAACATAAATGCCAATGTACAAGGCAGGTTTTATTTCCTTTTTTTTTTTGTTTGGGTCAATAGAACTTTCATTACATGAAAAATTAGTACAAAGTTCAAAAGGAACCTGATAAACAACTACCAGTCTACAAGACTAAAACATTTGATTGAGGGCATATTTGCATTACTGCTTGAATCAAATTGAGTTCAAGATACTAAAATCGCAATCAAATTTACAAAGATTCAGATATATCCAGCTTCGCCTCGTGCTAAGAATCTTCTTCGGGGCTAAAGGCCGTGAGTTTCACGGTAGTGGAAGTATGAAAGCTTCGGTCTTTCATAACTGGCCCAAATTTTTTAGTTCGAAAAAATTGAGTACAAATATTTTTTTCGTAACGCATGCTTTAATTATTTTTTGTCTTTAAATCGAAAATATAGAGCAAAAGAAATTCAAGAAAGAGAAAAATGATTTGCGAAAATCATTTTTTTGTAAAAAAAATTAGAAGCTGCGTGTTAAAAACGTAATTTCGTCAACTCAGGGGGAAGTTCGAAAGTTCCTTCAGTCAAATTCCAAAACGTTCAGTCGCCGGTTACCGTCACTTGTGCGTTCCAAGTCAAAAAGCGCCACCGGTAACCACCACTGGGCGTGTCCCACGTCGGACCCTTCGGATCCCGACACGTGTCCAACACGTAATTAATATCCCCCCCGCCCCCATACCAAGCCGGTCCCGCCCTTCTCCGCCGTTAATAGGAAACTTCAATTTAATTTTCTCGTTTCGGAAGCTCATCAAACTTAAAAAGACTACAAACAGTCACAGACACACACAGAAGAGAGAGAGAGAGAGAGGAGAGAGAGAGAGAATTCCGCGATAACTCAAAACCATCGGCTTTCTCAAAACCCTAGGTCACCTCCTCCGTCGCCGGAGCTTCTTCCCGCTGCAAATCCCGTCGGATTTCCCGGCCATTGTAGCATTCCCGGCTGAAATTTGAAAACTCCAGCCTCGGCATTTGGCGGTTCTCAGATCGAACCAGCTCGGAGCTTCTTCTTTGACTTGTCGTTGACTGTTGGAGCTCTGTAGCTCGACTGTTTCTCACTGGGGAGCGATTAATTTCTAGGGTTTTTGTAAATCTCTGATATAACGCGCCCCTTTTGGTTTCTCGGGCTTCTCGTTTGCGACGGCGCCGTTTCCTGGATCATTCGACTCTCTACCTCTCCCCATTTTGTTGTTTCCGCACCTCCAAATCTTGGCTTCTTTGAGCTCTCTGGTTTTTATGGCCTAGTAGTGGGGCCCTTGAGCACCGAACAATGCGACCGTTTTCAAGCATGAAACCGCTGCTCCTCCTCTTCGCCGTCGTCGTTTTGGCTCCGGTTCTCGCGAGATCTCTGAACCCGTCTCTAAACGACGACGTGTTGGGTCTGATAGTCTTTAAGGCCGATATCCAAGATCCGAAGGGGAAGCTAGCGTCGTGGAGCGAAGTCGACAACAGTCCTTGCAATTGGGTCGGGGTGAAATGCAACCCGAGATCCAACCGGGTCATCGAGCTCAGCCTCGACGACTTCTCGCTTTCGGGTCACATCGGCCGAGGCCTTCTGCAATTGCAAGCTCTCCGGAAGCTCTCGCTTTCGAAGAACAATCTCACCGGAAGCTTAACCCCTAACTTTACTCACATTGACAACCTCCGAGTCCTTGATTTGAGCGAGAACAGCTTCTCCGGTGGCGTTCCTGAAGAGTTATTCCGGCAATGTGGGTCGCTGAGAGTGATTTCTCTGGCGAAAAACAAGTTTTCCGGGAAAATTCCGGAGAGTTTGGGCTCGTGTGCGAGTCTAGCGGCTGTTAACTTTTCGTTGAACCAGTTTTCGGGTTCGATTCCAGCTGGGGTTTGGTCCTTGAGTGGGCTTAGATCCCTGGATTTGTCTGATAACTTGTTGAAGGGTGAAATTCCAAAGGGGATTGAATTGAATAATTTGCGAGGAGTTAATTTGGCCAGGAATCGGTTTACCGGGCAAGTTCCGGATGGAATTGGAAGCTGTTCGCTCTTGAGGTCCATTGATCTGAGTGAGAATTCGTTCTCGGGTAACCTTCCTCAGACAATGCAGAAACTTGGCCTGTGCAGCTATCTGAATCTGCACCAGAACACATTTTCTGGTGAGGTTCCGGAGTGGATTGGAGAGATGAAAAGCCTGGAGACTTTGGACCTTTCTAGCAACCGGTTTACGGGTGAAGTTCCAAGCTCAATAGGCAATCTTGAGGCTTTGAAGGTATTGAAATTTTCTGCAAATGGGTTCACTGGGAGCTTGCCAAAGTCTATGGCTTATTGCACAAACCTTCTGGCTCTAGATTTTAGTAAGAATTCGATGGCGGGTGAACTTCCGGTGTGGATATTCGATGCGGGTGAAGAGGAAGTTTCACTTTCAGATAAAAAACTAAGCGGAAGCAAGAACATCAATCAATCTTTATCAGCTGAAAATGCACTTCAGAATCTCCAAGTCTTGGATTTATCCCTTAATCATTTTTCGGGTGAAATTGCGTCCGACATTGGGGCCTTAAGCAGCTTGCATACGTTGAACCTTTCTGGTAACTCTCTTGCTGGTCCTATTCCTGTGGCTATTGGAGAGTTGAAGGTCCTGAACAATCTCGACTTGAGCGAGAATCGGCTCAATGGAAGCATCCCTCAGGAAATTGGAGGGGCTTTTTCTTTGAAGGAATTGAGATTGGAGAAGAACTTTCTCACGGGAAAAATTCCAACTTCAATTGAGCACTGTTCTTCTCTGACCACATTGTAAGTTCTCTTAGCTCCCTGACATTTCATTTTTGGTATCCTAATTTTTCTTAATCTTGAAGGGTAGTAACTTGTTATTAGAAATCCATTGCGCTTACCTAAATCTAGATATGATTGTACACACGAATTGTGTTCGGCTCATTGTCGAAATGGATTCGTTGTTTTGATGAGCTGTATGTGGTTGTAGAATCATGAAGTGTAGCAATACGGGTCTCCTTTTCAATAATTTTTGTTCTGGGAAAAACAAAATTCTTCTTGATTTTTCTTTGTTTGACAAATTTTTCTAGGTTTTTGATATGTTATTTTGGTTGAAATCTACAGAACTGTATCACAGAACAGACTGACTGGTCCATTACCTGCAGCAATGTCCAAACTTACCAACTTACAAATTGTGGACTTGTCTTTCAATAACCTCACGGGAGGCCTGCCGAAGCAGTTAGCCAATCTTCCCAACCTACTTTCCTTCAACATTTCCCACAACAACCTCCAGGGTGAACTACCTACGGGTGCCTTTTTCAATACCATTTCCCCTTCCTCCGTCTCTGGAAATCCATCTCTCTGTGGCTCTGCAGTTAACAAGTCTTGCCCGGGAGTCCTTCCCAAGCCCATTGTCCTCAATCCCAATTCCTCTTCCGACTCCACCACAGGAGAAATCTCATCAAATCTTGGTCATAGAAGAATCTTACTCAGTATTTCTTCGCTTATTGCCATTGCAGCAGCCGCTGTCATTGTCATTGGTGTAATTGCCATTACTGTGCTTAATCTCCGTGTCCGATCTCCCACAACTCAATCGGCGCCAGCCCTTGCATTTTCAGGTGGGGATGACTTCAGCCGTTCCCCAACAACAGATGGCAACTCTGGCAAGCTAGTCATGTTTTCAGGTGAGCCTGATTTCAGTACTGGTGCACATGCACTGCTCAACAAGGACTGTGAGCTTGGTCGTGGCGGGTTTGGAGCAGTCTACCGGACACATCTTCAAGATGGACGGCCAGTTGCAATCAAGAAGCTCACTGTTTCTAGTCTTGTCAAGTCTCAAGAAGAATTCGAAAGGGAAGTGAATAAATTGGGGAAAGTGAGGCACGATAATCTTGTGGAGATCGAAGGCTATTACTGGACTCCATCATTACAGCTCATCATACATGATTATGTTGCCGGTGGTAGTTTATATAAGCATCTTCATGATGGAGCAGGTGGAAACTTTCTGTCATGGAATGATCGGTTCAATATAATTCTTGGAACTGCGAAAGGTTTGGCTCACTTGCACCAGATGAACATAATTCACTACAATATAAAGTCCAGTAATGTCCTGATTGGCTGCTCAGGCGAACCGAAAGTGGGAGACTTTGGCCTAGCGAGGTTGTTGCCAATGCTTGACCGATATGTTTTGAGCAGCAAGATCCAGAGTGCACTCGGCTACATGGCACCAGAGTTTGCTTGCAAAACAGTAAAGATAACCGAGAAATGTGATGTGTACGGGTTTGGGGTTTTGGTTCTAGAGATTGTCACGGGGAAAAGACCAGTCGAGTACATGGAAGATGATGTTGTGGTGCTCTGTGACATGGTGAGAGGAGCACTGGAAGAAGGCAGGGTAGAAGAATGCGTTGATGCTCGGCTCCAAGGAATTTTCCCAGCAGAAGAGGCTATACCTATGATGAAACTAGGCTTGATATGCACGTCACAAGTGCCGTCAAACAGACCAGACATGGGTGAGGTTGTCAACATTTTGGAGCTGATCCGATGTCCTTCAGAAGGCCAAGAGGACTTTTGATGATCATGAATTAAACTAATCTTAACAGATATTCAGCGAAGGGATTCGCAACAAGTTATCCGGCAAAGAAGAATCCAGTTAGTTCGTTCGTCGAGGGAGAAGAGAGTTTCAATTGTTGGAAGGTTTTTCTTTTTCTGCATTGTTGTATTTGTTACCCTTCTTTTGTGGATTTCTTGTGTTATATTTCTGTAGTTTCTCCTCCATGCTACAAGTAGCTAGGTCACCAGATTCTCCTTTGCCGGGTTCCGATTTGAGTCCCGTACAGAAATTGTCACGACTAATCTTCTGAACTCTTTCAATTTCTGTCTTTGATCATGTTTCTTCCCAAGAGCTGATTCTATTTGTCAACTTCTAAACGCTTGGAAAGTTTTGCAACATTTCACTGATCCTACATTTTAGTCTGTTTGATTGCTATCTCCTCAATGTAGCTCCAACTGAATTGACATGAATGTCGGCGTAACAGTATTTCAAGCAAATCACGTATAACTACGTGAGTAAATTCAAACGAATAAAATAGTACGATTGTTTTAAAATACTGCTACAGTGACATTCGTCGAGGGAGAGGGCAATATTGGCCTTTAAAGACATGTATGGGAAAGTATTGGTGGTTATTCTTGCCCCATGTGTGTCCCACTGATGGAAAGTAAAATACAACTAGTGGAAGTCAAAAGTGAGCTGAGAGGCCTGAGGAAACCAGAGAATCTTAGTGCCCACTTTAAGGCTAATAAATATAAAGAGCTGAGTAAAATAATGCAAAAAGAAGAAGAAACCAAAGTGGTAGGGCACATACAATTATACGTTAATATTATATATATATATATATTAGGGAGCTACCTGTCGGAATAGAAACTATCTTTTTGTATTCTACCACCCATTTCTATATGTTCAATTTTACCACTGTGGTAAATAATTACGTGCTCTTTTTTCTTTCTTTCCTTCTTATTTAAATAATTACAATTAAATCATGTCAACTTCTTGTTTTGAATTTTTTTATAAAGAGAAAATGACAAAAAGAAAAGTGTAAGAGGAGATTAAAAAGGGAAAGAATTTTACTTCTCAATTTTCAACCGTCTTAACTGCGGTAACTATTTGTTTATTCCTCTTTAAACCTCTCTCCAATGTTATGGTCAGAATAGTTGCTTGTCAAATAGTTTGACCCATGTTTCTCTCTTCTCCTTGATACCTCTCTAGCCAAAGGCACGTCACAATAACAATAAGCGATGCTATCCATACCTCTTTTAACTTTCTGTACGCTCTTTTTAATTATTGACCGTCAGATAAAACAAATTAATACAAATCAAATGATAAAAATTAATATAATATGTATGAGCAATAAAAAAATGTGTGTAAATCACGTCTTTAAAAAATGTGGCAGTCCGAACAGCTACAAGCTGCAGCGCAGGGAAAAGAACACGGCGTTATCTGTAAAGGGTAGTGAAATAATATAATAAATTTGCATAGTCATGTGCATAGATTTTGAGCAATGACAATGAGTTGTCCCTAGCTGGTGCTTTCAGCCACGAGGACAATAAATATATGGTTTGGGGCCCAAGAGAACATTCATTAGGTTGGTGTTATTCCAACACAACCTTTTGTTTTTCACATTCACTCTTAAATTTTTACTGTCGAATTGAAAAGTATCAAACAAAAATTAACAAAGCGTAGAGAAATGTTATAAGAGTTTCAAAAGTGGGACTCTCTAGGAACTCTGTGTCACCTAGAATTAACGATAAACTGTGATGTGATAGAGAGTTCCACTTTAAAAAAATCGCCTTAGCATTTCTCAAGCGTGTATAGAAAATAAATGCAGTGTATAAATCGCACCAAGAAATGCTAAGAAGACTCTTAAAAGTGGAACTCTACGTGGACTCTCTATCACCTCATATTTTTTACACAATATTTTATAATATTAACACAGAAATTAACGTTAAATTGTAAGGTAACAGAGAATCCATGAAGAATCGCACTTTGAGATAATATATTTATCATTTCTCAATAGCACAATCCTAAATTATTAATACATTGGTATTTGCATTATCACCTTGCACATGGCTCCTTCTTAAAGAACCCAGACCCTCTCTGGATCTAAAGATCCTGAGCAAATGATCAAATGATCTGTACCGTTGAAATTTGATTCAACGGCTACAAACGGTGGGCCCTTTAAAGTTATAATAATTGTAGCCGTTGGATCAAATTTCAACGGCTCGAATCATTAGATCTTTAGGTTCAGGATCTGGGTTCCTTCATAAATACATGATTTTCTTTGGACTTGGAGGATTAATGCGGGTGAAAGAAACAAACAAATCCCCATCTTTCTTTCTTTCTTTTTTAATCCTCAAAAGAGTGGATTGCCGTAGAAAAACCACCAACTTTTAAGTGCTTGTTTGAGAAGCAATCTATGTTGTAATTAGTTGTATATCCTATTATGTCTATCTTTTTGATAGTTTCATTATCATAATAGAACTAGAGAGATTCTTACATTCCTATGTGCTTATTCAAGAGACAATCTTCGTTGTGACCAGTTGTACATATCGAATATAAAATCGGAAATAACTGAACATCATCCCCGTGATAATTCGCACAAAGTTTATTTCCATGTAACCTCCTTAAAAGTCAAGAACCCCACAACCTTTGATAGGACCAAAACATGAGCATTGAGCCCAAGATGCATGGAAACTCCGAGCTTGGAAATAAACAAAGATATTCATTGGTATGGGCAGTCAGTTAAGGAAAAGACTTTGCTTTCGCAATTAACTCCTAATCAGTGTTTAGGAGGACTAATCAAATTTCAAATTGGGGGAAAAACACTAAAACGAAAAGCTGCTTCTATTGTTCGGAGAAAATATAAAGTGAATAATAATAAATGGCTCATTTAAAAGTATTTTTAAAATTATTGAAGTACTTTAGCGGAAATATTTTTGAGTTTCAAAAGCACTTGAAACAATCAACTCCTACAAGTGCTTTTAACATTTTTACTAAAGAATGGTTCAAAAAATGGTTTCATAAAAAATGATTTCAGTCATTTTAAAAGTACTTTCAAACTAGTCTAAAATTATTGGAACAAACAAAAGCAATATTATTGAGATTTGACAGAAGAGAGTAAAGAAATCTGCTTTTTCGGCTATTTGGCTTTCTTCATGCTTTTGCTTTTGCTTTTGCTTTTGCTTTGCTAGGGGTAACAACATGATGCCTTCATAAAACTAGCTTTTGGTCTCACAGCAGTTGGAACCGGAGGGAGCATGTTGCTGTTGGGTTGCCTTGCCTGCAGGTGGGGGCACTGCCTATCGCCTACCAACACATGCCCACTAACAATTTGATGCTATGATTCAATTTTTCACATCCTCGAAGTGGTACATTACTCGTTTGGAGTCGTACATTGCCTTTTCGGAACTGTGCATACACACCAACACAATATTACCACTCGAAGCATCGACACCACCACTTCAAACACTAACATCATCACTTTTTATCGCAACGTGTTTGCATTTAGTGAAAACACGTACCGAAGAAAAACCGGTGTACCCAAACAAAGTAGGACGCAACTTTTCTGCAAAAATAAGACCATCTCCAATCAAATGAGGGGCATAGGTCTCGTTTTAACCTTCTGACTTTTAAAAAAATTAATATTTTAATGAACAATGCAAGATCATATTTTTTATCATCTAGAACCATAAGGCTCATTTTAGCACTGTCACAAAAAACCGTTTCCAACCGAAGGCCAAAAGACTAGAGTATGAAATGTGAATAATTAAATAAAATAAGATAAGATAGTATGAAATTGTGAAAAATATGTGAGAAACTATGTAGGAAAAAATTAGAAATTAAATAATAATAACAAATCAAAAAAAAAAAAGGGCTGGGCATAAAAAGAGAAAGAAAAAAGAGTGGGGTGGGCAAAATGGATAAGAACAAAAAAGAAAAAGAAAAATTGGGTTGGGCAAATGGAACCAAAAAAAAAAAAAAAAGTGGGCTGGCTGGCTAAAGATGCCCAACCGGTTGGCTTCTGGTCTTTTTTTGTCCTGTGGGACTCATTAGCCTTTTAGCCTAACATTCGGTTGAAGATGATCTAAGAGCTTTAGTCCTCAATTGGTGACCAAAACCAGTGCAGGATATCCCAAGTAAATTAAACAAGAGAAGCTGAGAAGTATGTCAGACCAAATGCTTCAAATGTGGTTAGTTCGAGCTCGGAAGCTTGAATTCTCGAAACTCTGCTCAACGTGCTTTACTGGGGTGAACAAGAAACGTTGTTGAGATTAAACATTGGCAATGCAGTTGAAGAAAACTTTCATTCACAAGATTGCCAGCTACTCTTTGATTTTCGTCGATTAGAGAAAATTGGTTAATCAGGTTTGATCTAGTAACTTCTAAATGAACAAGCGATTGTAGAGTCAATGACCATTACATCTTAACCATGGAAACTGAGGTTGAATTGCAGCAAACAGAACTACAGTAAAACCACAAATTAACACCAAAAAGCAATTGCATTTCTTTTCACCTTTGTCTAGCAATATTACCGCATTCGTTGACAAGGAAAGCGAAAGAAATGAAAATCGTCGAAAAGTTTATTGGCTAAATTCACATGATGAGAAGGATGAGAAGGATAGAGAGGAAGACAACGTCAATGTGGATTTTATGTACTTGTTTTGTTTGTATGTATGTCGGCCTCCTTGTCTTGTCCATCTTCCTCAATCATTAGACAGATGGCCAGCTGCTCCGAATGTTCAACTCTCTCCAGGGAGGAGAATTCTAATCTCCGAAAAATATTCAGATGGTTCTGTAATTTCCCAATTTTACATGGGCCCAATTGCAATTAAAAGTTTAAGCCTTTAAGTCCTTCATCTTTCTTAATTTCCAACCGAGGTCCCGAAAATCTCAAAGCCTTACACTTTTTCACTGTCCCCAAAATTGCATGTGAGCACTCTCAAGAGTGTCTTTTCCCACCCAAATCACTCCCTAAAACCCTAATTCCCCAAACCCTCCAAAAGCTTCTTAATTTCCCCTAATTTTCGATCGCCAAATGATGCCCAATTCCCTAAAGTAGGGTTCTTACGGCTTCCAATCATGTCCTCCGAAGAATTGGGTCTGGTTCGGACCCAGAACGGGCTCAACTCTCCGCTCGTGTTCCAAGACGAGAACTTGCGCTTCAATTGCGGAGCTCCGCAGCAGCGCCGGGTCGGGGACGCGGGTCCAAAGACCAGAGAGCTCACCGGCTTCATCGACGACCGGTTCTTCGCCCCACAGAGCTCGGACTTCCGGCGAAGTATGTATAGCGAGAACCCGGACCGGCGGGACCAGGCCCAGCCGCGAAACTGGAACTCGAACGGAGCTGATACGACGCCGAGTGCCGAAGGATCGGATGAGGACGACGATGACGACGAAGACGATGATGAAGGAGATGGCGGGCTTGTCGGAGTGGAGAGCAGGAACAAGGGCATTGCTGGTAATAATGGGAGTAATGGGGAGGACAAAATGGGAAATGGGAAAGTTAAGCATCACCATCAACAGCACCATTCTTCTTTTGGTAAGAGAAGAGATCTTTGTGGAAAGTTTTGATCGTTTCATAAATTCGCTTCTAATTTTGGAAACCTTTGTCGAATGTTGATTTTTCGAATGTTGTTTTTTCTTTTTTTGGGTATATTTTAAGGTGGGACACTGATAGTAGGATCTAGTAGACAAGTGTTGGTGAAAGAACATAGTACTGGGCAGCAAATAGTGAACAGCAACACAAGGGCTAGTTCCAGTGATAATCATAGTAATGCTCAGCAAGGAAGGCTTGGGAATTATCACAATGCCGTCACGGTGGCCGAGCCGGACGGTGACATGTATTACTCTCAGTATTTGCAGGGCTCTGAGGGGTCTGGTTCTGCTCCAAAGGATTTGGTTGTGGAAAATGGTTGTGGATTTAGTGGAAGAAAGGATGTTATGAACTCGAGCGAGTCGGGAGACTCTTTGAGGGCCATTCTCTCTGATCCCGTGACGTGAGTTTTGTTCTTTCATATGCTGGTTTTGCATTTGATTTATCGATTTTTGGAATTGGTGACTGAGTCCTTTGAGGTGTGTTGAATTTTAGGGGAGCTCTGATGGATGACGCCGTGATATTGCCTTGTGGGCATTCCTTTGGAGGTGGTGGAATTCAGCATGTTATTAGAATGGTGAGTGCCTCAGAGCGAAACACAGATTTTTCTCTTGCAGATGTAATCGTTTCTGTTTATCTTCAAGAAATTTGGGCGATCCTACAGCAAAAGATGTATATATCTAAAACATCATTGCTTTCTTGCTGGTATAGTGTAATCTTGCAAGCTTTGTGCATTTTATAATCTCTTAACAAAAGATGTATATATCCCACATGCTGTGTATGTGCATATGGTTCTACATCAAATCTAACAACATGCATAGTTACAATCTCAGATTAAAACTTTGAAACAAAGATGGTAACGGTCCACAGTCGAATTATTATTTTGTTGATAATACACGGTATTGTCATTGCTTTGATTGCTTCCATTTCTTCCGGGTGCAAACAAGTTATTATATATGCATGTCATTAACTGTTTCCCGTGGCTGCACTCAGTGAAGAGAGATCACTATTTTGAACCTTTTGCCTGCAAAGTATATCTGGTACATGCGTGTGGGATTCTGTGAACCAATAAGAAGTTATGCCCTGTCACTTGCAGATTCTTGTTTCGTTTTGATTGTCAAATTGAAGTTTTATTTTCTTCCATAATTTCCAGAAAGCTTGCTACAGTTGTTCTCTGTCGATTTCAGAAGACTCAATTGCTCCGAATCTTTGTAAGTAAAAGTTTGTCATTGATGATTTATAATCACTTACTATTTCAAAATATAGAAAAAGGATGAAAGAATTGGTGTCAGATGACAAACTGTACAACATTTATTTGTTTCAGAAAACATTCTAGTATGACATTTTTGTCTTACATGTGCAGCTCTTCGAGCTGCTGTGCAGGCATTCCAACGGGAAGAAGAGTTGCAGTTTTATCGCTCATCCAAAAGAAGAAGAGAAAGGTTTGACCAGGTTCGTCTTTTTCATGATTCAGAAACGGTGGCATCATTAGGTTTTTCAAATGCTGAGGAAAATATTATTAAGACCTCGAAACTAAGGCCTTTATTTGCTCATTTAGGAAAAGGGTGGCTGTGGTGATTTAGTTTTCGTGGATTCTCCAAGGGGTAGAGGTGTTCAATTTCCGTTTGCTGTGACTGACAGAGTTATTATAAAGGTTAGCAGACTAAAGTTCCAATCTTGGCTCTCGTTCTTATTCCATTGTTTGTTCTAACTAATAAATGGAGAGATATTGTCACAGGGGAATAAGAGGACACCACAACGCTTTGTTGGACGCGAGGCTGTTGTGACAACGCAATGCTTAAACGGATGGTTAGTCATATTCTAGTTTTATTCCATTTGAACATATATCAAGAAACGTTCCACCTTAATGGTATATATTCGCTTGCCTTACGTGCCTTTGTCAAATGAGATGCTGGCTTAGATTTGATTTGATTTGATTTATACAAATTGCCTCAACAGGTATGTGGTAAAAACGTTGGATAATGCAGAGAGCGTAAAATTGCAGTATCGCTCCCTTGCCAAGGTATCCGACGACCCAACATCCAAGCCAATGTCGAGCAAGATGGCACCTAACTGGCTCTAGGCCGAAATACTTCGTTGGCAATATACCACGTTATAACACAACTTTGTTGTTTAAATTTTTGCCTCTGTTTCCGGCGTTGTAAATTATAGAAGCCTTGTCACAACTGCTCTGAGGGAAGCTCTAGAATTGTGAATTTAGATTGTAAAAATATGTATCCATATTTCTTTGTGTTGAGCAATGCTGTATTTGAATCCTGTGTAAAACTTTGAGGGTTCATGTACATCATTTTTGGTCTGTGGGATCCCTGCGACTTCCGATGTTACCTCATTCTGTCAAATTGGTTAGAAAAATCATTGACTAGGCTATCCTTTGCTCGAAACTCGGTTTTTTCTTATTGTTGGCTTTAGTTCCATAACAACCAAGTTAACGATTTTTCTTACTTCCAATCAAGGTCTAAAATATCGATATTATCCTGATATTTCCATCGAAATTTCCGTGTTTTTTGACTACCGATATTTCCGATATCATCGATATTTTACACCTTGATAGGAACTCTATGTGGTACTAAGTCACTCATGTATCTTACCATGCAATGTATGAAGTGTAAAATATTGTACTAATTCATTATATATAAATGATTATGGTGTGTTTAAACTTCTTTCATTAATTATTACATATTTTCTACACTCACAATGTTTGCCAGCTCGCTATATAATCAACTTAAATAAGTTAAATCCATCATGCAATGCATTTCCTTCCAATTTTGTTATGATAAACTAATAGATAATTGACTAAATAAACATCCTGCAAAGTTTCAATAAAAATTTCCAAGTTTTTCTTACAATTTCTGTGGTTTTTATTCAATTTTTATGGATATCGATTATATCCCGATATTTTCATCAAAATTTCCGTGTTTTTGGACTACCGATATTTCCGATATCATCGATATTTTATACCTTGCTTCCAATGTTACCTCATTCTGTCAAATTGGTTAGTAAAATCGTTGACTAGGCTATCCTTTGCTCGAAAATCGGCTTCTTATTTTTGGCTTTAGTTCCATAACAACCAAGTTAACAATTTTTCTGACCAACTAGGCGAAATAAATTACTTGAGACATGAAATTAAAGCACAAGGGCATCTGAACAAGAGAAATTCTATAATTGATCGTATTGTTACATCTTAGTTGTAAATGAAATTTGGAAGTACTCAAATGCTGGGATGGGAATTCAAGCTTTGGTGCAACGGGCGAGCATACTGTTTTGGCCAACTAGACTAATCAACGTCTGCAAAGGCAACGAGTACGATTCATATCATTGGCAACAAACTGTTAAGATGTTACAAATTGATTCAGAATTCAGCCAACAAGGAGTGAATTCAAAATAACCTGATATTAGACAACTAGTTGTAATCTGAAAAACGTAACGAAAAATCTCAAGACTTGTCAGTATTCTGCAACTCTAGATAACAGCCGGCAGATGACATACGACCTCCATTCTAATGTTACAGACCCAAACACTCGATGAACATAGCCTCGCGAACCTAATCAACTTAATTAGACAAAGATTGAAGGGAGGAAAAACTGCAGTACAGCAAAGGTCAGAAACAAGGTACATTTGTCGACAACAGGAAGTTGCAAGTCGAGTAAATGGAAGCTGCAGCAGCCCTAACAGCTAATGCCCTCTCTGAGTTATCCAATATCAGTGGTCTGCAAGACAAACAAAAAGATAAATGATGAGAAACATTTGCTTTAGTTTAGAATCATGAGTTGCAATCTAACTTCTAAGCAATTTTTCGAAGAACTCGACTTAGATTTGTGAAATCAAACGTTTACCTGGAATTATTTTCAGATGTTCCGAAATGTTGAATGCCGGAAGCAGCGTTCCATTGGACAAGTTGCAGGCCCTGGTCACAGTGAAGCTGCATTTCTTTTACTTGGTTCGACCAACCTTCCTGAAATTTAAAACCAGCATGTTCTATAAGAAAAAGCGAGAGATAAATAAACAATGAAATGAATTCAAGGTTTCTTTTTAACACTCACAAGCTGTTCCTCTTCTTCAGAAAGTGCTTTATCCATTTGCTCAAACAGTGGAATCCATCTTGCTCGATGCATGTCTGCAATAGCACATCTGGAAAATCCACGGGCAGAATTTCTTGCGATCTGAGGATCATTCTCCTGATCAGATGAAAATTCTTTTGCCAGCAATGATGGCAAATCTGTAGTTATAACATCTCGTACTCTCTTCCTACTGCGTCGCAATGCTGCAGTTTACAAAATAAATTACATATAAAAACAGGCTCCATCAACAAGATCTACTATTGATATTACAGAAAGAGCATTACCTGCAAGACGTCCTTTGACGTCTAGAAGAATAAGTCCCAACCACTGAGAAGCAATGGTAGCAGCTGCAAAAGAAAGACGGAAATAAATAATATCAACTATCACAACACTTAATTATTGACTAACAACGACTTAGACCACTTAAAGAACTGAACATTCAAGATCAAGAGTTAAAAACTGACCTTTAATAGAGAGATAGGATGATGTTTCCTCATTAGACAAAGGGCTGTCATCCTCGGGTGCCTGCATTGATGATGCCAACTTCAATGCTAGAGAATCTTCCTCTCTTTCAGGAATGGAGTGTGAAGCAAGACTTTTATCACTAAGCCTCTCTATTGTGGTTCGTTCAACATCCCCTCTTGTATGCTGCCTGCCATCATAGGCAGTATCTGGAAGCTGATATTCGTGAGAGAAATTTATCCCGGAATCATTCATATTTTCAATGTCCTTCCTGTTGCAAATTTCACTAGTTCCACTTTTTGGATTGTTTGTTTGCTTGTTTCCCAGGCGGTCATTCTCCAGTCTTTCTAATTTTACAAGCGACTCTATTATTGAACGAACCTGTTTTCTGTTCCTGACATGGTTGATAATCCCAGGGTTCAGGTCATTGAGCAGTCCACTTGGAGCAGCAATTTTCGCAAACCTGTCCACTTGTTCCCTCTTTGCGCGTTCCATCTTCTTCTTAACCTCATCTTTTGTAGTCTTCTTGGGACGCGGTTTTGGCACCGGTATGCCTCCATGAGTGGATGATAGGAAACCATTTTGCTTCATCTCCTTCCAAACTTTCATTGGATCTTTCTCTTCCAATGGGCCAGTGCAACTCCCACATTCAGAGGCGGCTCTTGCCTTCAAGGAATTGGTGCTTTTATAAGGATAAAATGGATCTTGCTTTTCTGAAATCGTAACATCTTCTGCGTTGAGATCCAATCCAATACCTTTCGCCTTTTCACATTTACTCCGATCCCTAGGCAAGGTGAACTTCTCAAAACTCTCGGTGCATTGCTGACTGTTGTCCAGAACCGTACTTTTGGCAATGCACGCATCAGTATTGAGATCAAGTGTAGAAGCAGGATTGATTGGTACTGACAATGTTTTACTCCAAGACTTTCCTGCTTGGGAAGCATCAACACCCAAAGTTATAGGAACCTCAGTAACTTGAGACATCCTTTCATCACCAGATCGAAATTGATCAATTGATTCCTTGATTTCCAACAATGTTGAATTATCGGTCTGAATTCCTGTGGCATAAAGGGTAAGAGTTAAGCACTGAACCCCCGAAACCACTCCAAATCGCAAGCCAAAACAACCTCGTGAAGTAACAAATTCACAAATGACTTTCAAATACAATCCAAATGCAAATCCAATGAAGCTACTTACGACTTAGATCTTGGACATCTCAGATAAATAATACCTTTCATTGGGTTTCAAATGCATTAACTATGACCTGTAAACTCAGTGCAATTTGCACAACTACTTGTAATTGAACAATTTGTACAGCACAATCAAAGCACACGAAACATAAAAACTTAATAGATTTACGAATTCACATTTTAAGCGCCAAATATTGCGAAAAAAACAAACATGAAAAGGGAGACAACATTCAACACCAAGAAAATCGATGCAGCAACAAGAAATTTAAAAATTTTTAAATAAATTACCTTCGGAACGGGACACCGTCATAAGATCTCGCATTTTCGCCCGTTTGCGAGGACCCAGCTCACGTTCTTGTCCCATCTCAGTACTGATTCGCTTCTCCCCAGCAATCTAAAACGACCCAGATATTAAAAACCCAATAAAATGAATCAAACGGAGAACATAAATTCTAAAAATTTAAACTGAGCAGGATTACAAAAAAAAAAAAAAAACCTTTGAATCGAATCTGGGAATCGGGGCCGACCCGTCCGAAACTCTCCCCGAATCGCATGGATTCTCCATAACCTTCGAACGCAATTAAAAAACGAAACTTTCAGACCGACCCTTTGCAAGAACTGGAAAATTTATCACATGGGCGCGAAATTTGAAAACTTTCCAACCCTAAACAAAAAGGGTCTGTCCCAAAACGACCAGTCTTCGTTCTTCTGATGAGAAATCAAGAAATGGGAAGGGTGAGGTTGGAGATTTGGATTGGCAGGGAAGAGGGGTTGGTGGGGTTAGGGTTTTTGATTGGGGGCGCGTAGGAGGACAGATCTCTGGTGGATATTTTTATTATTAATTCGATTTCGATAATTATCAAATTTGAATTTTTGCAGAGAAGAGCGCGCCCTCTCTCGCTGCTGACAGCGAAGATACAAATGTTGTTTGTTTTAATTTGTGATTAGGGACGAAGCTTTTAAAGATTAAACAACGAAAAACAACTCCTCCTAATCCATCAAATCAGCAGGATTCGTACGATGAAATTTGATCCAACGGTTAAAATTATTAAAATTATTATAACTTTTAAAGTAAGTTCCTATTTGTAGTTGTTAAATTAAATTTCAACATCACATATTTCCTAATTTAATAGATTAGAAGGAAGAGATTTTCCACAAACAACGTAAGGGCGTTTTCAAATTCAAACAAAGGTTTTGGGAGCGGAGGGATCTCTGTTTGGTTTGGGCCCAAAAGGGGGAATCATCATGCTTTTCCCACGCGTTTCGGATTGGGGATTGTTTGGTTGCATGGATAGCTGGTCACAATAATTAATCATGTAATCTTTTTTTTTGGTCAATAAATTAATCATGTAATCTTGTGTTGGGGTAATGTTTGGTTTTTCTTTAATGAATAAAACTTCATTCAAAGAGACAAACATCTACTACAACCAGTTTCATTACAATCAAATAACGAAGCACGAGAAGCAACGGGAAGGATAGACCTATCCCAAAGGTGCATCATGCATGTTAGGAGTTGATAGGTTGACATTAGCAATGAAATCCGTAACGAAATTAGTCACCTGGTAGATATGATTATACTTAACACAGTAGAATGAGGAAGCCATCCATCGAATATCTTCAATAATTGATCTTAATCTCAAGGGAATGCAACATTTGT